ATATTTCGGGCAATATTAAGACTACTCTTCCCAAAACTGAAAGCGCGAAAGAACTTCTGAAACTTGTGGAAGAATGCTCCCAAACTGCTAATAAGTCTCTTGCTGGGACACTAATGGGTACTTTAACCACCATGAAATTTGATGGTTCGCGTACCATGCATGAGCATGTCATTGAAATGACAAATATAGCAGCAAGACTTAAGACTTTGGGAATGGAAGTGGATGAGAATTTCCTTGTTCAATTCATTATTAACTCATTACCATTTGAGTATGGCCCTTTCCAAATGAACTACAACACCATGAAAGACAAATGGAACGTGCATGAACTGCACGGTATGCTGGTTCAAGAGGAAACAAGGCTGAAGAATCAAGGAACCCACTCCATTAATCTTATAGGCCATCAAGGAGCTGGAAAGAAAGGAAAGAAACATGGAAAAGTTAAGCAGAGGCAACATAATGTCAATGAGTCCTCTTCTCAAGTACGTAAGAAGGAACACAAGAATGATAAGTGTCGTTTCTGTGGAAAACCTGGACACTTTCAGAAAGATTGCCTGAAACGTAAGGCATGGTTCGAGAAGAAAGGTAAGCCTTGTGCTTTTACGTGTCTCGAATCAAATTTAACTGAAGTTCCTTATAATACTTGGTGGATTGACTCTGGTTCTACTGTTCATGTTTCTCATACGATGCAGGGATTCCTTACAACCCAGACCATAAATCGGAATGAAAGATTTGTGTACATGGGGAATAGAGTGAAGGCTCCAGTTGAAGCTGTCGGTACTTATCGTTTAATCCTAGATACTGGGCGTCACTTAGACTTATTTGGAACTTTTTATGTACCTTCTCTTTCAAGAAATTTAATTTCCTTGTCTAAGTTAGATAAAGCTGGATATTTTTTAAATTTTGGCAATGGATGTTTCAGTTTGTTTAAGCATAATCATCTTATTGGTTCTGGTATTATTTGTGATAATCTCTACAAATTGAACCTTGATAATCTGTTTGCCGAAACCCTCCTAACTCTGCATCATAATGTTGGAACCAAACGTAGTTTGGTGAATGAACATTCAGCTTACTTGTGGCATAAACGTTTAGGTCACATATCCAAAGAAAGACTGGAAAGGCTAGTTAAGAATGAAATCCTTCCACATTTAGATTTTACGGACCTTAATATTTGTGTGGATTGTATTAAAGGAAAACAAACAAAACACACAAAGAAAAGAGCCACAAGAAGCACTCAGCTTCTTGAAATTATACACACTGATATATGTGGTCCTTTTGATGTCACTTCTTTCAGTAAGGAAAGATATTTTATCACCTTTATTGATGACTTTTCACGTTATGGATATGTCTATTTGTTGCATGAAAAATCTCAAGCAGTGAATGCCTTAGAGGTATTTATTAATGAGGTTGAAAGACAACTAGACAGAAAGGTGAAAATAATCAGGTCAGACAGAGGTGGTGAGTATTATGGAAGATATGACGAAACTGGACAACACCCTGGTCCATTTGCTAAATTCCTTGAAAAACGTGGCATATGTGCTCAATACTCAATGCCTGGCACTCCACAATAAAATGGTGTGGCTGAAAGGCGTAATCGTACATTAATGGACATGGTTAGGAGTATGTTGAGTAATTCATCTTTACCCATCTCATTGTGGATGTATGCATTAAGGACTGCCATACTTGCTAAATAGGGTTCCTAGTAAAGCAGTCCCAAAGACTCCTTTTGAACTTTGAACTGGTAGGAAACCTAGTTTGAGGTACCTGCATATTTGGGGTTGCCCGGCAGAAATAAGAATTTATAATCTACTTGAAAAGAAACTGGATTCAAGAACGATCAGTGGTTTCTTCATTGGTTATCCAGAAAATCAAAAGGGTATAAATTTTACTGTCCAAATCATAGTACGAGATTAGTTGAAACTGGAAATGCTAGGTTCATTGAGAATGGTGAAAATAGTGGGAGTGAGGAACCACGTAATGTGGAAATTAAAGAAGTCAGGATGCAAGTTCCTCTACCCTGCACTTCTTCTAAACTTGTTGTTCCTGAAGTTGTTGTACAACCTAACAACCAGCAAGAACAACAAATAAATGATCCTACTACTAATAATGAAATTGCAGTTAATGAACCTACAGTAGATGAACCACAAGAAGTAGCATTAAGAAGGTCTCAAAGACAAAAGAGATCTGCTATTTCAGATGATTATTTAGTTTATCTACATGAGTCAGAAATTGACTTTGGAATTGCTAATGATCCAGTTTTATTTTCACAAGCCATTGACAGTAATAATTCTGATAAATGGTTAGATGCTATGAAAGATGAGTTGAAGTCTATGGAACAGAATAAAGTTTGGGACCTTGTTGAATTACCGGAAGGTTGCAAAAGAGTCAGGTGTAAATGGGTCTTTAAGACCAAACGCGACTCGAATGGCAACATTGAACGTCACAAGACCATACATCAGTTTTGCTGTTGGAATGTTGGGAAGATATCAAAGTAATCCAGGGATGGACCACTGGAAGGCTGCAAAGAAAGTGTTGCGTTACTTGCAAGGAACGAAAGATTATATGCTCACTTATAGAAGATCTGATCATCTTGACATGATTGGATATTCAGATTCAGATTATGCTAGTTGTATGGATACAAAAAAATCTACATTTGGTTATTTGTTCCTGTTAGCCGGAGGAGCAATATCATGGAAGAGTGCGAAGCAGTTTGTCATAGCTGCGTCCACTATGGAAGCTAATTTGTGGCATGCTTTGAGGCTACAGTTCAGGCTAATTGGCTGCGGAACTTTATTTCAGGACTTGGACTAGTCGACAATATTGCCAGGCCGCTGAAAATTTATTGTGATAATTCCGTAGCAGTCTTTTTCTCTAAGAACGACAAGTATTCAAAGGGTGTTAAGCATATGGAAGTGAAATACTTTACCGTCAAAGAAGAAGTCCAGAAACATAAAGTGTCAATTGAACATATTAGCACTAAACTTATGATTGCCGATCCTTTGACGAAAGGATTACCACCCAAAATATTTGTTGAACATGTTGAAAGAATGGGCATTCTTAATAGCAATGTATGAATTTATCTAAAGACTTTATTATGTTTATGAAATTGACACTTTGAGCTCATTTAAACATATGTTTTTGGTATTCTATACCTGTTTTCTCTTGTATACATAATATTGAGAATAACGATGACAGGTTCAGGCTTAGATAAAGATATTCTAAGCATTAACGTTGGACCAATTAAGTATTACTTTTACATGTTGTATTGGGTAATAGACTGATATTGTAGTACATGGAAGGGACTATATCGAGTAAGTGATGTACAACCGCCATGACTCATATAAGTTTACTTATTCAATAACAACGAGTGATGTTTCCAATGAATGAGAATTTAACATTTCATTGTGCACATAATGATTGAGATATTTATTAAACCATTAAGTGAGTAACATCACGTGCACCAAGTGGGAGAATGTAAAATATGGCCCACGTGAGTATTTTGGTTTAATATAAATATATTTTGTTAAATTAATATTTGGATAAAATTAGGGGAAGTTAATTTTGGTCATAACTCCCCACTAACCCATTTTGATGGAAAGTGGGGGAAGTTAATTATGGTTATAACTCCCCACTAACCCAATTTGATGGAAAGTGGGAATTAACTGATGGTCCCCCTCTCTGCCTATTAAAAGGAAGAATAACGTACTCCATCTATTCTATTCGGAAAAGAACATAGAAAAGGAAAAGAGAGAGAAATATTGATTTTCTCAAGAACAACAACTCTGAAGAAGACTTCCGCTCAATTTAATTAAGAAAACACATCATGGATTCAAGTAAGTTTTCTTAATTGAAATTATTGTATCTCTATTTTATGTGAAAATCATATAGTTCCACGGTTATGAATAATTGAAAGAATTTATATAGATGATTTATAAATCACAATCTAGAATTGAAAAAATTTTAACATTTATTAGTGGGAGCCGTTTGAAATTTAACCCTACGTGCCAATCAGTTACTCATTGGCCGACTCAACTTTCAAGTGATAAGTCGGCTTTTCCTATTTAATAAAATGGATACCAAAGCGCTCCATTCTTTTTATTTTTATATTTTAATTTATTTGTTACAACTCACATGTAAAAGAGGTCCTATTTGGAGTAAGTGCATAACAGAAGTTGTGGACAAGAAAATCAGTCCAAAGTTTTTTAGAAAATTCACGGGAAATTCGCAGCCGCTATCTTTTGAGTGACCTGCTCACTATATAATAGCTTGCCTGCACTAGACAAGCTCGCTGCGACTTCAACTCTTTTCTCATTTTCTTTTAAATATGTTACGTAATATAGCTTTGTGTTAGAGTACTAACGATAAAATTGTCTTCGTATGACTTATATAGGTCATGGGTTCGAGCCGTAGAATTAGCTACTAATGTTTGCATCAGGATAGGCTACTCACATCACACGCCTTTGAGTACAGTCTTTCCCGGACCTTGCGTAAACGCAGGATACTTCATACACCGGGTTGTCCTTTACTTAATATAGCTTAGAATATAAACTGTAATTTCATTAAGCTATCGTGGAGCACAATCTTTAGTCTTACACTTTTATAAGAAGGTAGAATATTTTCATGCAGTTTTTCATGTTATTATTCGAAAAGAGTTGGTTGTTTAACAATTGCATGCACAATTTTTTTGAGAATATTTTGAAGGAATTTTTTCTAAGAAAAAAATGTAGAAGAAAATACCTTGAGCCAGTTGCAATAAAGTCTTTTTTTTTTTAATAGTTACAAATAATAACTTACCTTTTCTTTTTCTGAAAACTTATTAAGAATAACTTTTCGGTTGTCCTAACAGAAATGGTATTCTTTTCCCAAAAGGGAAAGAGAAAAGAAGAAAACGCGCCAAGGAGCGCAAGTTAGCAGGATAGAGTAAGAAATGCGTAGGATAAGGTAAATAACAGCTCATATATTCCAGCTTTTATTTTAGTTTTAATTTTAGTTAACGCCGAATCAAACAAACGGTGCGTTTCTCGGACATTGTCAGCACACATGTTATTACATTACATCTAACATTATGTTATGCAACAAATTAAACCACCATTTCTGCAAATCTATACAAACACCCCCTTTTCTTCTTCTTCTTCTATCTTTTTTCAGAACCCAAAATACCCAGAAAAAGAAACAAAAATTAAGGCCAAAAACTCCATTTTTATGCTCCTTTAAACATTGACAACTCTTTTCTCTGTCCCCAAGGCAAAAAAAAAAAAAAAAAAAACAGTATTGTGTACGCACCACTATGGAATTTTTATCTTCACACCGTACGTTTTTCTTTTTATGTTCTTTTAATTACATTTTCTTGCATTTTGTTATTTTATGTTCTTTTACGTTTTCCCTGATAAAATACATGAGTTTGGAATCTGGGGGTTTTTATTCTTGATTTTTAATGGTCATTATGAGATCTTTGGTTATATTAAAATGGTTTACTTTTGGTGTGAGTGAGATTAATTTAATTTTTACATTTTGTGATCGTGTATTTGATTAGATATTTAGGCTAGATTTTGTGATTTAAGATGTATTGATGTGGGTGTTTAATCTTTTGTGTGTATAGGTAATTGTTGGATTTGCGTTGACCAAATACATTGACAGTCAATGAAGGAGTAATTTTGGGAAGTTACATTTGCTTTGATTGGAAAAAAAAGATACAGTCTTTATCTGATTTGAGAGAGGGACCTAATAATGTTGTCTAAGGGTGAACATCAAACGGTCCCATTGTCAGTGTTGTTAAAGCGTGAATTGGCTAATGAGAAGATTGAAAGACCTGAGATTTCTCATGGTCAAGCTAGTCAGAGCAAAAAAGGCGAAGACTTTACGTTTGTTAAGACCGAATGTCAGCGAGTTTTGGGTGATGGAGTTGCCACTTATTCTGTATTTGGAGTAAGTTTCTTATGCTTCTTGAGGAAAATATCTCATCTATATGCTAATGCTGTATATTCCTTGTTATATATGTCTTTGTGTTAATATTTGTTATTGTTGGATTATCAGATTGATTTCTTGTAGAATCCAGTAAGTGCTTGATTTTGTGTGTATGGTTGAGAAAACTAACTGCTTATTGCTATTGAGAGAGGGTGGTGTTTTACTGATGCTGCTTTTGCTTCTTTGACTTCGTTGTCTAAGATGGATTGTGCAAAATGCAAGTAGTCAGTTCAAGAAGGAGAACTCTTTGTTTGTTCCTATTATCATTGCGCAGCATCTAGGAAGTAGAGGTGTATATTGCGGTTGATTCGCTTTAAAAGTTTGATAGCCACCATTTGATTATGCTATTTAATGATGCAAGGAGATAAAGAAAGTTGTATTCATTAAACAAGTGGAACTTAAGGCATGGGATGTTGCCCAGTTAGCTCTTGTGTGGGTTGTATGTAAGGAGAGAAATAGGAGACCGTTTGAAGGGATAGAAAATGCTTTGTAAATCTAAGGAATAGTCTTTTTATCTTTAGTTTCCTTTTGGTGCACCATGAAGTCCCTGCTAGTATAGATGATTGAGTGTCTCTTGTAGATTCTCTACTTTTCGGTATTCGGCTTGTATGCCAAAAATACCCCCCATCAATTAATAAATAAGTTTCCTTATAAAAACAAGCGAACTTAACTTATTGTTCAGATAGGCATTTGCGGAAACTGGCTAATGCGACATGTGGCTGTGATGCAACTTTGATACAGACTAGCCTGCTGTTTGTTATCTAGGATTCGATGCCTTGTGAATTTGGTTGGCTTCTTGAAGTATTCTAATGATATCTCTAGCTGTACAATTCTGTGTCGTAAGTTATGTTTTTGACTTGTAAATCTTATAAGATAGTTTCTATCTCTGCTTTTATAAGTTGGTGGTCTTTTTCCTTTTCTTATTTTCTATTTATGGGCCTTATCCTTATAATGGCTTTTGTCACCATGATTTACTTTTATTTTTCCCCAACTTCCTGACATATCAGGAGATGCATTTCAGTTCTTCTCAATTTTAATGCGTTTTTCAACTTTCAAGTATGGAATTTCTGCATTAACTTCTAGCGAAAATCTTTGCTGTTGACCTTGCAATTCTGTTTAAGATGTTAAATTTCAATTATTCGCACTCCCTTTTCTTTTCTTAAATAATGGCCGTCTTATAATTTGTAATCTCCCACCTTTGCAGTTATTTGATGGGCACAATGGGTCAGCAGCCGCTATATATGCTAAAGAAAATCTCTTGCAGAATGTGTTGAGTGCTATTCCTCCAGATCTTAGTAGAGATGAATGGGTTGCTGCACTTCCTAGAGCTTTGGTTGCAGGATTTGTCAAAACAGATAAAGATTTCCAAGAAAGAGGTATGAGTAATTTCTTTATTCATTTCTGGAAACATGATATTGAAAGTTGGTATGCATGAAAAGGGTTTAGTTTTGTGTTGGTATTATGCCTGCTTGATCAAACATAGCACATAAGGCATGCGATGTTCCACATGTTGATGCAAGACTTGTTATTACTTTGAGGCTTTCGAATTCTAGATTTCATATTTTCTCGGATGATATTATACATGTTTTCTTCAGTTCTTGCTATATGCTTTTTTCTTTCTGGATTTTGGCTTCTACTGTTACTATCTCCAATTACCTTATTTCCAATATTGTTGAAACGATCTAATCGTCTCCTACTATACTATGCAGCAAAAACCTCAGGGACAACAGTCACGTTTGTCATAATTGAAGGATGGGTTGTAACAGTTGCATCAGTTGGCGATTCTCGGTGCATACTAGAATCAGCTGAAGGAGGAATTTATTATCTATCAGCCGATCATAGGCTTGATTGCAATGAAGAGGAGTAAGATTAATGCCTTTCACCAATTGATTAATATGCTTTCACCTCTTGCATTAAGGTATTGATTATATATGTTCTTAATTGAATAGGAGGGAACGTATAACAGCCTGTGGTGGAGAAGTTGGTAGGCTTAATGCTGGTGGTGGTACAGAGGTGTGTTGGTGTTCATGTTTACATATAGTCTCTGGTTTTAAAAACATCACAACACCCCCCCCTCCCCCATCCCACCCCGGCTGCGCCTGAACATACAAAAAAGGCCTCTTCTCCCTTGTCTCGTTGAAGTTAGTAGCGATAGGCCATGACTCATTTACTATGTATTGCCATGTCCTATTTTATGGTTCACTTTTTACTTTTCATTTTCTCAGACTGTCTTCTCCCGGAAGAAGTTTAGGGAAGTGGGTTAGCTTTGTGCTTTATGTCTTACCTGTGATTGTGATTCATTTCAGATTGGTCCTTTGAGATGTTGGCCTGGTGGACTCTGCCTCTCGAGATCCATTGGAGATATGGATGTTGGCGAATATATAGTTCCTGTACCCTATGTGAAGCAAGTAAAGGTTGGTCTACGATGCTTTCTGCTCTGTTTTTTATGTGCTTTATCCCATTGCTCTTCATGTCCTTTGTTTATCTGCAAAAATAGATGTGCAGCTTGAGTTCACCCGGAAAGACTCTACTTCTTGCGACAAAAAATAAAAATATAACAAACAGCTCTACCTCTTGCCCACTATTCTATAATTGTCAAATTTGGGGTATGGATAGTACAGTTTGATTTTAGGCTCTATACTAAAGCTTTTAATATTTCTTGGTTGAAATGTCAGTAAACCTTGTGCTTGACAGTGAGGGTGGACTCTAGTCAAGATTTCTTTCTTTGGTTTTCCTGGAAACGATTTTCCACGGCCTGCTGGTTTTGCATTTTATTTTTTTTTGCTTTGGATGCTTGTTTGATGATACACAACGACTTTAAGCCTTTAATCCAGTCTTGATTGGTGCAATTATTGGGGGAGAAAATGTACTGTTTCCTGATTTTAGTTTGTCCCAAATCTTTTTTGTATCTTTGCATTTAAGTGCAAAGGCATAGCATATTACCATCATTAGCTTGACATCAATGATACCATCCCTTTTAAAGAACTCTGTGTGTGTGTGTGTGTGTGTGTGTGTGTGTGTGTGTGTGTGTGTGTGTGTGTGTGTGGGTGTGTGTGTGTGTGTGGTGGAGGGAGAGATAGAGTTGATAGTACTTGGGTTTGCTGGATGTTACTCAGCATATAGAAGTTTAAGTCAATAAAGCGAGCTATGTAATATTTAATAGAAATCAATGCAGTTCCTGGCTTCCCTTAGCCTAGAAACCTTAGAACACTGGATTTTATTCTTTTCATTTTCTGAAGAAGGGATTTTATTTTTCATTTTTATGTTCCTTTTAACATAGAATAACAACTTCTAGAGTGGCCTGAATGTTTTGGTCTTCTATTTTGCACAAGCTCTTTTTTTCTTTCCTAATTGGAAGTCATATCATTTATCTGTTCTAAACAATTTTAAGCATTATGTCAACAGCTATCAGCAGCAGGTGGAAGGCTTGTAATAGCAAGTGATGGTGTCTGGGATGCTTTATCTGCAGAAATGGCTGTTGAATGCTGTCACGGAATGCCTGCGGATGCTTCCGCCTCTCAAATTGTTAAAGTATGATAATGTACTTGATGTGTGATGCCTTTACTTGATTGGATTTGCTTCTATCTAGTCTTAACTCTTACTCCAATATGCAGGAAGCTGTACAGCCAAAAGGGATTCGAGATGATACGACCTGTATTGTGGTCGATATACATCTCCCAGAAAAACCAATTCCTCCACCGCCACCCAAAAAGTCAGGAAAAAGAGTATTCAAGTCTATGTTTCGCAAAAGAACTTCGGCGTCGTCTTCTGATATTCAGAAAGATTTTTGTGAACCGGATGTAGTGGAAGAACTATTTGAGGAAGGATCCGCATCTCTTTCAGACAGGTTCGTCACATGCTAAGTGTTTCTTTGAATCTGATGTGCAAATTGGAATTCCCTTCAGATATAGCGGTGGGCTCAGATCTAGTGCTTATATTTGCTTTCTTCCTATGATTGCAGGTTAGACGCGAAGTATCCAGTGTGCAACATGTTTAAGTTATTCATATGTGCCGTCTGTCAAGTAGAGATAAAGCCAGGTCAAGGTGTTTCAATACATGCTGGCTCCTCGAACACAAGATATTCGCGGCCGTGGGATGGCCCTTTCCTATGCTCAAGCTGCCAAGAGAAGAAAGACGCCATGGAAGGAAAGAGACCTTTTGGAGGTCAGATGCCTCACTTTCTGTAGACACGCTGAACTCGTTTGCCTTGAAATATATTTGATCATCCTTACTTTACTATTCACAGATGCAAGATATAATAGTGAGTGACGAGTTAAGCAAGAGGTGCAATACTAACGACTGCTTCATAGACGATTACAATTGGGAGGTATGGCATTGTTGTCCCAATGGTTCTTTCTGTTTCAGTAAACAAAGAATGCGAACTGGCTTCTTTGATTGGTGGGATACATGCATTAATATTTCTAGTTTGCCTCCTCTACCTCAGAAGATGGAGCTCTGAAATTCATAGTACATAGTCCACTTTCTGAGAATGATTAAAATTTGGAATATATGCCTAATACATCAGAGGTAAATTCTCTGATTTTAATCAAATGTATACTCGTATCGTACTTAGTAGTGAATCGTAGTGAGGGAAAGCGATTTTTCGTTGTAACATCAGTAGTTAGTAAGTTTGATTATAGGATCCTTAAGAGTTTGTTTTTCTTTTTCCATTTTTCCTCCTTGTTCTCCCTGCAAGGAGAAACTTGCTGATCACCCTCTTATTAAATTAATTCTTGTATTATACATTAATTACTCGCAAGAAGCGTAAGCACTGGATTCTGGCAGTTATTTCATATATGTTCTCTCTATATTTCTGTCTGATTGCTTTATCCTATTTATGTTGAAAGTATCAATGTACAGTCTTCTTTTTGTGTCATCTTTTCATCTATTCTAGTTTGAAATACCTTTACAAGAACTTTTGGCAAGTCTTTGATTTCTTTGACCGACTATTTTTTAAAGCTGGCTTAGGCTTATCCTTTCGGGGATGGCCCAGTTGGTTTGGAGGGCGATACAGATGACCTGGGATCAATCCCCCCTCAATACCTTCTGGGTCGAGACTGTCGCACGGGGCTTGCCTAGTGTGGTTTATATCCCCTGTGTGGTTTTGCAGTCTATTACACAGTGCGGAATTTACCCAGAGTGCTCACCCGAAGGGCAAGGGCTGTGGCAAATGCTGTAGCGGCTGCGGGTTTTTCTGGGATTCCAGGAAAAAAAAAAAAAAGCTGGCTTAGGCTATGAGAATTGACACAAAATCTAGGTACGTATATGTAAATTTTGGACTTGCAATGATGTGACAAGGTACCAAATAGTTGGACTGCTCGAAAACAACATCATCATTGATATTCTTGGTCTGGAATTGCTCTTTCCTTTGTCAAATCACATTCTTTCATCTGAAAAAAATCAGAAAAATTATCTGTTTTTTTTTTTTTTTTTTTTTTTTTTTTTGTGAGCCTTAGGAGAGAGAAGCATTAACATTGCAATTGTGTACCTCTCCTGTCATTTAAAAAGATACTACTCTATAAAACTACCAATCATAAGTTATGTGCGACTCACAATAACATTAACCACTACTAAAAACATAATTAAGTTAATAAAAATGTACGTTTTTTAATATCTTAAATTTTTAGATGAGGTCACGTTATGTCGTCTGGACTCCACATGTCCAGCCACGAGCGTGCAGAGGAAGGGGATGTTAAGTATACATCATTGGTTGATCGAATAAATTGTCTCCTTATATGGTTTTGAGCTAATATTACATTATGAGCTAATTTTTGAATTGCATTAGACTTAAGGTAGCAAGTCGTCTTAGCTATCGGTAGAGTGCACGGCTTTTAACTACGTGGTCGCGACAATACTATGATTTCACTTTTTCTGAGCCGAAGGCCTATCGAAAACAACCTTAAGGCTGCGTACGCACTATCCTTCATAGGCTTCATTTGTGGGATTACATTTTATCTGTTATTGTTGTTGTTAAGAGTCAAGGTCCATTTGGGTACAAGAAAGAGGACATAGAGAAACAAACATGGTATAGAACAAAGACTACACAGTCAAAGAACAAAGATCCTTTTTCTGCTTTGCCCACTATAGCCACTTGAAACCTATGTGCCTAAAATCTATGTCCCTTTTTCTTCTCTCTCTCAAAAGACAGTAAGAGTTGTAGGATGGCAAGACAAGAAACAAGCAAACATCTCTTATCTTTAGCTTAAGATATAAAATAAAAAATAGGGTGGTGTTTAATTTAGTGGAGAAGACGAGTCGGTCCACTCAAAATAATGGCTCTATGATTGAGATGTTGACCTTAACTAAGCAGCCAAAATTCTTCTTCTGTGGTATAACATGTTCTGTAAAATGGACCACTTAGTACACGTGTGTGTGGGTCCTACTACCCCCACCCCCAACCCCCTACCCTAACACTTACCTAACTATTAATAGCCCGTTTGGCCAAGCTGCAAAAATCAGCTTATTTTGAGAAGTGCTTTTTTTCATAAGTGTTTTTCTCAAAAGTACTTTTGGTGAGAAGCAGTTTGTGTTTGGCTAATTAGTTTGAAAAGCACTTCTGAGCAGCAATTAGTGTTTGGCCAAGCTTTAAAAAACTGCTTCTAAGTGTATTTTTCTCAAAAGTGCTTCTCAAAAAAGTGCTTTTGGAGAGAAGCTACTTTTTTCTGCTTCTGCTTCTCTTCAAAAGCACTTTTTTTCCTTCCAAAAGCTTGGCCAAACACCTCAATTTTTGGCCAAAAGCGCTTTTGGCAAAAAAAAAAGTACTTTTGGGCAAAAAGAAACTTGGCCAAACTGGCTATAACTCTCTACTATACTATTACTTTCCTATGTTCTTTTTGGTCTTTAATGCACTTACTTTTTTTTACTTTTTTTTCTTTAAACACTTCGTACCATATCATATTCCATATCTCTTTCATATAAAGCATTTACCCTGTTTAGACAGAATCTTTGAGTTGTTTATCAATGGTACTAGGTTTGATCCTAGATAAAATTATCTTGGCGTTAAATCATGTCGGACAGTCAAAAGTGTAATATGATCTGATTAATTCTTTGGTCTTAGGTAATTATGTTGGACACAAATCACAATATAGATACATACACACAGGGCCTAACCCAATAGTTTTAGTCCAAACATTATATTTATCGTAAGAAACTAATTGAATATGTATAGATTATTAACTTACAACCCGATAACATAAACAAACTAAATTTCCGAACTCGTAAACTTCGAATCCTGGCTCTCACCTATGTTAAAATATATATGGGGCTGCACTAACGAGTGTCGCCTGTCAGTTAGCCTACCAGTTAATGAAGTGAGTAAAAATCATAATTTGAGATCAGAGTTCAAATTTCATTACAAACAAAAAAATACTAAGTTATTTTCTCATTCGCCTTAGTCTTGATTGTTGAGATCGAAATAACATGGCGTCATGCGGAAGCTAATAAAGGAAAACTTGGTGGACGATAAATCAAACAAGAAAGAAAATATACTAAAAAATAAGACATTATAATGTAGTTTAGTCAATTGACCTACATATAAAAACTAGGATAAAAATATATAAACTGTTGAGAGAAAAATCTCCCATAAACAAGACTCTTTAATGACTACATTTGGGTATTATTGTTGTTTTGTTACGAGAAGAAAACGTCAATTTATAGAAATACAAAACTTCTCGTCCAAAGAAAAGGATAAGGCATATGAAAGAGATTTAATCCTTTTAGGAGTCTTTTTGCCTTTTTTCAAGAAAGAGAGTCATAATAGATTAAAAATTTAGGGCAAAATCCTAACATTGATAGGTAGACTAACCCGATACATGTGCTAATAGGAAATAGCAAGATCGAGATGCACAAGTTGTTTTTTTTTTAAAAAAAAAAAAAAGAAAAGAAGAAGATATAGATACATATGGGGCCTATATGATAAGGCATAACATGCAAGCCTTACGTGCATTAACTAGATGAGAATTGTTTAAGTCGTCTAGATAGATTGAACCTTTTGAAGTGGTGCAATCCTTCCAATTGGCAAACACATTTTGCTTCTTACGTTTTTTTGTTTGTTAGGCAAATTTCAACTCAACGGTGAATCAAGAAGCCAAGGGAAGAGTCCTAAAGTCACAAATTAAATTTAAAGTCATTCTAGTTGTCTTTGAAAACAGATCATGACATTTTGGGTGGGGACATTTTAGAGGAATGAATCATTTGCATTTATATTGATTGGCATTACTGAGACAAAATATCCACTCGTATCTTTTGTACATGTATAGTACTACTCCATCCGGTCCACAATAAGTAACCAATTTGCTTTTGGCACACCCATTAAGGAAACACTAAATTCTAGACGAAAATAGTTAGTGTGACTAAACTACCCTTCATTAAATATTGCAGCATAGTTAATGTGAGAAGTAAAAGACTTTTTAGGGTATGTACATAAAGGTAATTCTGGAAAAACAAATTGAATTGTTTCTTGGTTATATAAATAGACATTTATTTTGGACCAAAATAAAAAAATAAATTGATCACTTATTATGGACCGGAGGAAGTGGTACTCTACTAAGGATTCATTATTAATTGTCACCTAACTAGTCTATCATAAGATTCAATCCTTTCACGGGTTGTTATCAATATTCTTCTCGGCCAACAATCTTGTAAACAATAGGATAACAAAAGAAAAAGAATAGAAAGAAAAGGTAACAGTGTTGTGAAATACGTATTACTAGTAGTATCTTCACTCAGTTGATCTTTTATAGAATGGAAAAGGTCCAAATATGCCATTGAATTGACTGAATTTGTCCGTCGTTAATACTTTGACACAAACATATTCATGTTATTTAATACTTGCTCCAAATTTGCGCTTATTTTAAACGGTTCCATATGAAGGGCATACTTGGTCCCATGCACATACTTTGAAGGCATATTTGGCCCATTAAAGTCTTTAAGCTTGGACGATTGGGTATATTTGTGCCAATATTAACGACGGACAAATCCGCTCAATTTTGCATAGTTCAAGGACATATTTGGACCTTTTCCGTTTACAGAATGATACTTCGACTTTAACTATCTATGTTACTAATTTGACATTCTTTTAAATGTTATAAAGCGACTATAGTGTATTGTAAATCGGTAATTTGAGAAGATAGAGACAAATGCTTGTTTTAGCTAAAGATAGATCATAAAAGAGTGACACTCTCTATGCTGGCAATTCAATTGATTAGTGTTCCATTTTTCTCACCTTAATTATGTGCGCCATTTTGTTAAACAAACTGAAATTGTTGACTTAACTTATATAGTTTATAGGAGTATATGAGTAGTAATGGTAGACTTTATCACTATATGAATTTGAATTTTTGAAACTTGCGAAAGTTGTATGTAATAATATGCTAAACTTTTGACAAAGATAAAAAAGAACTGTCATATAAGTTGGAACAAGAAACAACAAATATGTGAAATATCACAAGTGGGCCGGGTTTGGGGAGGATAGTGTGCGCGTACACATTACTCTTACCTTGAGAAGACAGAGAGACTATTTCCAAATAAACTCTTAGGTAAAAGAAAGTTGAAACATGAAAATTGTACATTTAATCATTGAGCAACATGCTCACGAGAATTACTTTAGGTTTGTCCTGCAAATAAAATTCCATATTGTACAAGATGCGTACTCAGTTTTGTATTGCATAAAAGTATCGTAACTTGCATTAAAATAAAGTCTTTATGGATTTGAATTTTTGAAACTTGCGAAAGTTGTATGTAATAATAATATGGTGTCAATTTTTCCAAAAGTCTAAGAATTTGAAAAGATAAAAAAGAACTACCATATAAGTTGGAACAAGAAACAACAAGAACAGCAAAATCGGTGAAATCTCACAAGTGCGATTTAGGGAGGGTAGTTTGTACGCACACATTACTCTTACCTTGAGACGACAGAGTGACTATTTCCAATAAACTCTCGGCTAAAGAAAGTTGGAACATGAAAATTGTTCATTTAATTATTGAGCAACATGCTCACGAGAATTACTTTAGGTTTGTCCTGCAAATAAACTTCCATAATGCGTACTCTTTTTGTATTGCATAAAAGTATCGTAAGTTGCATTAAAATAAAGTAACCTAAGTGATGCTAGTGACACGAGAGAAGATTTGGTACCTAGTCTAAAAGGGGGGTATTATATGTATATTAAAACAGCTTATATTCCAAAGCCATTTGCGTGCAGAAAGAGGACATTAATAAGACACTAAAGTTGCAAAATCTAAGTGGAAAATGCAAATCATCTGTTTGATCAAATCAAAGATTCTTCTTGAGAAAGGTGCACTACATTTTTACCAAGTGCGCTTTTAGCATGATTCCTCACGTAGCTAGGTGGAAAATTAAAGAAAATTTTTCAAGTTTAACCAGTTTTTAGGTGAAAATCTTTTAAGAAATATATATTTTTAATTGCTCCAAAAATTATAGAATATGTGTATTATATACAAAAAAATAAATATATGTTTTATACTTTTTGGCTGGCGAATGCAATTAGTTTCTATCGACCGGCCAATTTTGTATTTTGCCCAAATATTCTTTTCCACTCACGAACTTTTAATTTAAAAATAAAATAAAATACATGTCTAAACACAACTACAAGTTCCAAAATTTATATTTCAATACAACTTTGATTTTTTTTTTCTATCTATGAAGTAGGACGAGTGTCCAACCTAATTCAATGCTAGGTAACCAAGTTAGTATCCTAGCGGAGCTCTTGAAGGGGGGAATATCCTAATGGATGAGTATGAGCACGTTATACATCTCATATTAGACCCAGAATTCTCACTATTTTTTAGATTCATGGATCCAATTTAATTCAGCGGGATCCTTCGTTCACATTTTTTTCCACCAAGAACGTTTTCTAAAACTCTTTGACCCCCGAATTTGGAGTATCCTACTTTCATGCAATTCGCAGGGTTCAACAAGCAATCGATATTTCACGAATTCAAGTTTCGACAAAATCTATGTAGAAATGCTAGCTTAGTAACAATACCAGTAAATGTGCATTATTCAGAATGTCTTTAAGTGCGTGTGTAATATAACATGCCATTACAGTTAAAAAAAATTATCAATCATTTATATTTGTATCAATCAAATATAAATATAAATATAAAATACAAACACATATAGTTTGAGTTTAAGACAAGAAGTACATTTACACTTGGAAAAAGCTACATCATCCCATGAGTAGTAGTAGATGACAGTACATTTATACTTAAATAATAGTACTAGTATTACCTATATTTTTCTCCTACCAATTTTTGCAATAAAATAAATAAATAAAGCATTGGATTTTGTTGTGTCAGTGTACTTTTCCTGAAATTAGCACCATATAGCTGTTCATATAAAAAGGACCCCACTCCCCTTTACAAAAACTTCATCTCCATCTCATAGCCACCACATACCCTCTTCTCTTCATTCATTCAACAATCAACAATATTTATAATTTTATATCACTATAATTGCCACACAAAACTCTTTTGTATAAGACATTTTAGCCTAAAATCCTCACACCCCCTTCTTCCCATATCCTTATCTTTTTTCTTCTTTTTCTCCTCAATCAAAGAAAAAACAAGAAAGCTTGAAAAAAAGATCCAATATTAGATCTTAGTACTAAATTTATTTACCCTTTTAAACATTTTTTTTAGTGATGGACAAGATGAGAGTCAAAGAAGAATTGAAGCAAAACAATCAAGAAAGCCAAAAGGCAAAGCAAATACAACAACAACAACAACCACCACCGCCCGCCGCCGCCGCCGGCAGTGCAGCTACAGCTTCACCACCTTCAGCTTCATCATCTCCATCACATGAATTTTCTTTCACAATTTCCTTTAATCAAAATATTTCCACAAAAACCCCTGAAAATAATAAAACAAAGCAAAATACCCCACCATCTTCTTTTGCTATAGATTTAACTCCAGCTGATGATATTTTTTTTCATGGCCATTTACTTCCTCTTCATCTTTTATCCCATCTCCCAGTTTCTCCTCGCTCTTCTACAAATTCTATTGATAGTTCACTTCCTATAAAAGAATTATTAGAAGAAAAAAAAATCCAAAATTCCAAAAACCAAAAAGAATTAAATCGAGATGATGATAATTCTTATTATGATCTAAACCATAGTTTTCATCATCCTCATCAAACAAATTCTTTTACTACATCAAAAGATCAAAAACCAAAATCCAAATCTTTTTCTTTATTTGGATTACCGAAAAAGAAAAAAGAGGAAAAAGAAGACAAGGAAAAACAAAGGAAGCTAAAATTTGATGTGAGTCAAGTCTTGAAAAGGTATATGAGAATGGTGAGACCTTTTTTATCATTTAGAAGTAGAAAAAATATGCAATTCAATAGACAAAGTTATTCTTATTCTGGTAATTTAAGTTTTAGAAGTGGGGAAAATAAGGAAATTAGAGGAATAAAAAGAGGTGCATATTCAGCTCCAGTATCTATGAAAAATTCTCCTACAAATAGTGGTTTACTTGTAGCAACACCAGGTGCTAATTATCATAATTCATCTTCAAGTGATAGTACTATGGAAGAATTACAATCTGCAATTCAAGCTGCTATTGCTCATTGCAAGAAATCTAGTTCACTTGAACAGAAAATCAAATGTCAAGAAAATGATTAGGTTATTCAAGTTTACTGGCTCGACTAATACAGATTCGCGTCCTCTGGTTATAATTCGACCATACCCCATGTGGTTTTTTTATTATTGCTTCTTTCTTGCATACATAAATTTTGTTCATGTATCATAATCATGAAATATATTTGTAAGTAAAGTATTGTATTACATGAGTTTAAAATATGAACTATTTATTCATGGTGAAGGATTAGTAGGGCAACCATGTGTGAATTGTTTTTTCTTTGTCTTCTGTAATTTTTTTTACGATGTATATAGAAATTAAACTCTTTTACGAAATTGATAACCTAGTTGGTTATTGTATTTCGTTTGAATGATGATCAAGGTCAATGAGGCTATTAAAAGAACAGCATTGGTCTAATGTTTTGAAAATTTGAAGTATTCAAAGTTTGTTACATTAATTGTGTATATCGACTATCTATATATCATCTAGGTAATGCAGATTAGCACGTAGATTTATCAATAAAATATAGATGTATCGTTTACTAATACCAGTGGTGTTTTTCAGATCACAATTTCTACAATTTCAATAAACGACATATAACCACTCGATTATTTTATAAATCTACTAAAGTGGAAATCAACGTTTGATGAAAACAGAAATAACTATAAATTACGTCACTTTTTGTTAATTAACTTACCTCATGTTTACTAGTCATGTTTTAGTATTTGGTCATTTTTTTATTCTCTTCCCTTTTGATTCCTTTTGTTGTTTGGAGCTATTGTTCGGTGCTGATCATCGGAGCAACCCTCTTACGTCTTATCTTTTTTATCATTAATGTTTGAACATAATGAAAAAGTGATCTGAATTAGGTAATTAATGAAGCCCTTTTCATTTTCTGTACTTGGTCTGTGCCGACTTTTTCTAGTTCTATTAATGAATACTTTATGTATATAAGATTGGCATTTCAATTAGGAAGGCCCCAATAAAAACTTGAGCAATAGATTATCTTAGAAAGGAGCATAGATGAATGAGACATTGTCTATGACTATATAATGTTGGTGTAATAATGGAATACCAAATACAAAGCATGTGTAACATGTAGCTTTCAATGTGTTCATGCACAACTCAACTTTTAAATTTTTCTTCACTCCATTCTTCTTTTTGGTCTTTGACAACTCTTCTTAATGGTGACAACAAGCCCCAAATCCTTGTGCTTTTTACTCCCTTCCTTTTCGAATCTTTCTATCTCTTTCATGTCATGGCATAGCCTAATAATTTTACATAAAATTTTATGCCTGCAATTGTTCAAAAAGAGATAGAAATGTTAATGCATGTAAATTATTAGTTTAATTGATTACATCGAACATAGCTTTAGAGGCTCTTACTAGATAAGGCGGTAGAATAAAAGTCTCACTACTAGCTTTTAGTTTTAAGCATGCAATGGCAGTAACTAATGAATGTTATACTAAACTATCCGCAATTTCATTAGGATAACACTTGGTTAGTCTTTTTCTAGCTTGATTGCGAAACATGGTTTGGAAAGTTCAGCTGAAAGATGGTGTATATCAACATTCAAATCTATTCCTTTGTAGTTGGCCCCAATGTTTAATGCCAGGTTCCCTCTACATACATATGAAAAGTAAGCCAGCTGTATTAGATCATCAACTCGCCTTAACGCACCCTCACGGTATCACTTGCCTAACAGCTGCCAAAAGCGAAAAATTCAATGTTGATGGGCTTATTATCTTAAATATGTCGATTTGATTTGGGCTTTTTCACTTTTAGCCAGTGTTAGAAACTATTTACATTCGGTAGCCGAAAAAGTGTATAAAATTTGTAACATACAAAATATATATATATATATATATATATATATATATATATATATATATATATATATATATATATATATATATATATATATATATATATATATCGGTTATTATTTTGAGAGCGCTATACAATATCATTTTCCCATTTGATTTATATGGGGAAGATTAGGAAAGAAAAGCAAAGCAGTGGAAGTAGATCTGAAAGAGGTGTCTTTACTGGAAAAGGGAGTAGACAAGAAGAGAGTTTCATCTTGTCAAAAACAATGTTAGGAGCTTTGAAAAGTAAGGAATAACAATTAGGACCAAATATGCAGTGGGTCACATGAGTTGATGTTTATGGAATTTCTTTCTTTTGTGAAAGTACAACAATAATTTAATGTGGTACTTAGTTTGGTCCATTTTCACATCCCAACAACTAAGGACATATTGCTTTTTCCTTTGTTAATTTACACCTTCTATGGTTATGATCTTGAACTCAGGATATGATCATTAATATGATTTGCTCGTTATGATATGACCTAGTGAGCAAATAAAATAAGCAACAAGAATGGTTTATAATCATAAGGTAATTTCCATTGGGAAATTGGATTGAAAAATAAAATCAAAGGTACAATTGTTTCTAATTTATTCAAGAAAAAAATATATTAACAAATCAATTATATTTCAATCATATACCCTATGTGAGCTTGGAAAGTAAGTACTTCAGAAATAATCTAAACAAACCGTTGAGGCCAGAGGTGGATCTAGGATTTTTAGTACATGGGTGCACTACTAAAAAGAAAGAGGAAAAATGTATTAAGTGGGAATTGATCCCTAATCCTCTTATTGATAACTCAACCTTCAACTAAGTGCATCATTCAACCTTCTTGCAGCATGAACACCAACAGTTAATATTATACCAATTTTTTAAAATATGTACGTAAAATATTTAATTTTACGAAGAAAACATGGGTTCATGTACCCCATAATCTCCCCATAAATCCGCTCCCGATTGAAGCGTATGATATAAAGCTTAAAAAAATGAATTAATTGACTATCGAATGAAGCCCTTAAATATAGGACTATGAGTGTTTGAGGTGCGTTTATAGTTTCAGTAATTATGCGTGAATTTTTTTGTTCAAGTCACTTGTGTACTACTTCCCCCGTTCACTTTTACTTGATACGTTTTGATTTTTCACGCCCCTTAAGAAATAATAAATGAAGTGCATAATTTACCATGATACCCATATTAATTGATGCATATTTTATTGCATTTGAGAAAATGATTTGAAATGAGTAATAAATACTTCGCATATAATAGAAAAAAAATTTATCTTCTCTCCATATGCGTAAAATAACAAGTAAATATGAAAATCTATTTTTACTATGCATCCTAAGTAAAAGTGAACATAACGAGTATATTCTTTGTTCTTTCTCATTGAGCGTTTGTCATTCATAATATAACCTCGACTAATCTAAATTTGCATAGTGTAGGACTCATTAAAGGGAAAAACACTCTTTGCTACTCTATTTGTTAGTAAGTAGCAGTAGTGATCTAGATTTTCTGAAAAGTGCCTCATTAACCATTTTCTCAAATCTTATTTCCTTCTTTTTGACGGAGGGACCATATTTCTGAAGATAAGATGCAGAAGTTAGATCCGATGCATTGAAACTGATACTAATAATTAAGGCTTTTAATTTGGAATTCCAAAGAGTATTAAATGGAAAAAGAAAAAATAAAAGATACTTAAATGGGCTCGATAAAGATTTTAGTTATCCTTTTCTCGTGATTGGAAAACCGTGCAACCACACTTGATTTTCTGACATTCCCAACTGAAAGAAGATCAAGAATTCAAAAAGAGAAACATAGAAGAGGAACCTAATGAAATAGGAGGAACAGATTTTGATGGTCATTTTTTCTTTTTTCTTGTGGTTTTTCTTTTTTGTTTGGTACTCCCTCCGGTCTAAAATAAGTAATTTTTTGAATGTTTTCACACAGATTAAGAAATCTACCTTTTAACATTAATTAGTAATGGAATTGACCATATTAACCTTTACTATCTCACGTAAACACTCCTAACACATATTCCAACACTATTTACTCCAAGGACAATGTAGGAAAAAAATAATTAATTCATTCTTGAAATCTGGAAAAATCACTTATTTTGGACCACAAGAAAAAGGCCAAAAAATCACTTATTTTGGACCGGAGGGAGTATAATTTCTTTTTGTTATATATTTATTTCTTCTCCTATTTCGTCTTTTTCTACTGGGCTTCAGAATGTTGATATTCTTTTTACTGGGCTGCAGTGAACATCCAGCCCAACTTGTACAAAAATAAAAGAGAAATTTTTATAAAGCACTACCTTTTAGTAGTAATTAGCCATTTATAGATACCATTTGCTATATTACAGATTATAGATACCTTTTATGTGGTTATAAGATGTATTTGATGTATTTAAGCTATTGTATTCATGAATACAGTAGCAAAAATATGCGTGAATCAGGGAAGTCCAGCTAATCAGTTGTTGTATTCGAGTGTATTCGACTGTATTCACGACGTGAAATAGGGGATTACACTGTTTTTAAAACGGAAAGTGAATCAATTAACATAATAGACTCCTAATATAACTCAATTATAACACACAAATTTTGTATTTTCAGTTATAAAAAATATTCTCAACCGAAAAATACCCCAAAAACATAGCAATCTTCAAAGAAATTATATAATACATCTGAATACATAAATTATATTTATTAAAAAAAACATGAATACATTCATGGCATATAGCGAGATAGTGAATACAATGAAATACATAGAATACAGCGGGATACATTGAAATAAAATGAGAAAAAAAGACAGTGAATACAATGAAATATATGGAATACAACGAGATACATTGAATTACAATGGAAAAAAAGACAATGAATACAATGAAATACATGAAAATACAGCGTGATACGTTGAAAATACATTGATATATATTAACAGAAAAATCAAGTTGCTCAGCCCCAAAATCAGTCGTCTTTGTTCAAAAACAAACCCTAATTTTTGATGAATCCGACGTCGAGCAAAAATCCTGAATCTCAAAGTTCCCACGCTGCCGTCGATCGAGGCTTTATCTCCTTTTGATTTGCCCCCATGGAATTGGAGAGTTCAGTACCCGAAATCCTATAGAGATTGAATTTGAATGACGAAATTGATTTGTGGGGTCTGATTTTGAATGACGAATTGAAAGTCTTAAACAAACGAACGAAAGAAGACACTTAAACTATTAGGATCGAAAGAAAGAAGACACTTAAAGACTTTAAACACACAAAACAGTGATAAACAAACGAAACAAGTAAACTATTAGGATCGAAACAATACAGAACGGCGTAGCAGAGAAATTTTAATGGGAAGGGAAGAGAATGGGATGTATCAAAGTAGAG